CCTTTATTAACTTTTCATTATGGAAACAACCTTAAATATATATAAAACACAGTATAGTGAAATCTTGCATCCTCTCCCTCAGCTTTAACAACTATCACTCAAGTGCTAATTTTGCTTCATCGGTACTCAACCCACCCCTTCTCTTCCTAATTATTTTGAAGCAAATTCCAGACATCATATCATTAACTTCCTGAATCCTAAAATCCAGTGGCCTCTTTTCAGTGGATGTACAGGATATAAAATCCAAAAGAGAAGTCTGGGCTAGAAATATGGATTTCAGAGTTACCAGCCATGAAATCAACATCTGAAGCTGTATCTTTGAATAGGGTCAAATATAAATGCATGGGGAACAGGATACTTTCTCTTGAGGCTTTCATTAAAAATGTAAATAAACATAAATCGCCATCGGAAACTGTGCATTTACAAAGGCCTATAGAATGTTTACCTCTATGATTTAAGATGTTTCTCCCCCTTAAAAAGGTGTCTCTGTATAGAAACAGTTACTACTCTAAAGGATTTAACAAAATACTTAAAACATATATTTTATGTAACATGACATTTAAACATTGATATTGTAACTGACTACAAATCTACTTTTCAAAGTATTTGTTAAAAACTTGTCACTCCATGTATATTTTACTAATCTTTAATGTGTAGAAATCTGTTTTGTAATTTATTTCATATGCATGTTTCACAGTAAAATTTTTAAAAGAATATGATTCCTATTTGAAATAGCTATGACAGATGATGGTATATCTTAGCAGCATTTAGAGCTTTGAACATACATAAGAATATTTGTATACTAAAAATATTTTATAAGCTCTTTAGACACCAAGCCGTTGAATCAGAGACCGCTTATTCTTACATTTTAGTTTTTACCCTGTGTCAAAATTAGTTATGATATATTTATACTCCAATCCTGAAAAAAAAAAAAGGACTCAAATTGTTTAAATCCTAATTTTACAATCTACTTAAAGGAATTTCTAAAATTTTCTCAAATAGTTTTCATAAGCTGTTAAATAAAGATTAACCTCTTTTAAAAAGTATTTGTGACCTTTGGAATGGAATGTAATTTTGTTCCTTTGATTATATTAGCCACAAAGTAAAGGATCCAAAGGCGGTAAAAGAGGTACAATTTTTAGAAACAATAGATCTTCAATGTTTAAATTTTGATGGGTCATCATTGATTAAATGGAGTCTAAGTCCTATTTGATTAGAAAGAACTCGGAAATACTTTCAGCATATCCTTATCTTTCAAATAATAGTCCTAGAAATTTAAATGTACAATTCTATAGATTAGAATAATGCACAAATTAGCTTCAAGTATACACCATATACTTCTTTGCTTCTCCCCCAAGGGAAAAAAACTGGATATATTTAAAAGCAGTTCCAACTTTGGCTAAATTGTATAACTGACATTTCACCTAAATTACTGACAATTTTTTGGCAAATATTTTTGGTCTTTTAATGCTTTTGAAGGACTAAAGTGTTTTATGTAAAATCCAATTCAGTTTTAAAACATGCTTAAGGAAGCACTGGATCAAAATGGAACATATCCCTCCTACACAAACACACCCCAGTTCTTTTCTCAGATATCAGTAAATATCAACATGATGATTAAGAAGGCATACTTGCGTTCTCAGTAACCATCTATTAAACAGGGGGTTGGGTGGGGGGAAGAACCTTTTAGTTTTCAGAAAGTATAATTCAGACACCTTAACATTTAACCAGATACTTTCTTTAAGATAGTGGAGACATATTTTTGTTTCAAATCAGCTATGCATTACTATTATTCAGTACTAATTTTTAAGTTAATTTTTTAAATTGTTGAAATTGAATTTTCATTTTCATTTTCATTTGAGACATTTAGATGTATGGGGGAAGGGAGAGGATGTGGAAATATAGAACAACTTGTTGAGAACTTGTTCTGCTTTTAATTAGGGAATTTTATAAAGATATCTTGTTGCTGTTCTTAAATTAATCCTGCCTCAGAAGCCAAGTGATTTTCTGGTCTTGAATAGTAATGATACAGCTTCTCTTTACCAAAACATATATTAACCACGTTTTCATATCAGATACATTTTATTTCTGTACCTCTAAAGACAACCTCAGTGCATCAGGCAACCTTGTCAGGGGGCATTAATGACATCATTAACATTATAATTAATTCTGCCGGAATGACTAGTGAATTTATCTTTTATTTTCACAATTGAAAAAACCAGACAGTTTACTTGTAAAAACTGCTATTTTCCACCAAATACATGAGAAAACTAGTAAGTTTCTTCTGACAAAAGAAATCATTTGGTTTTTGGTCTCTGTAATACAGCCGGCACGAAATTGGCTGACAGTGCGTGTTTTAAGTTTTTACCTGTTTCTTCTCTCAGATTCCCTCCTCTCACGTTTAAAACCCTATAGGACTTTTTCAAAACAATATCAAAATCGCAATTTAGAAAAAACGTTGTCTTTATAGCCTCAGTAGTTGGTATAAGACGATGGCAGAAGAGCTCCCCAACAAGCGAGGTTACTCTACCGAATCCGTTTAGAGCTTCAGCAAATTAACCCAACACCCTTGAAATAGTTTGAAGATTAAAAAAAAAAAAAACTTAAAAAAAAATTACAAATCTCAACCCCAAATACCTCCTACAGGTTCACCGAAGGCTGGGCTTTGTTTTTTGCCCCACAGTCTCAGCAGAGCACACAAGCTATGAACAGAAAACGGGAAGATTTCGTTGAGTGCTCAAAGAAGTCTTAAGGTTGCTAATTTTTTCTGAGGTTGCTACATCTCCTGAGGTTGCTTCAATTCCAATGTGTTACAGTTGTGTCGCCAACACCGAAAACTCAAGAAAACAAAGTGTCTCTTTCCCCAGAAGGGCGCCTGAGCTTGGTTCTCAAAGAACCTGCCTGTTAACAGGTGGCCGCGGCGGGAGGGACCTTCGCTTCCCCGCTCCTCCCGCCGCCGCCCTGCCCGGCCGGCCACCCGCACCCGGCCGCGCCCCGTATGCTGCCAGAGGTGGCACCGCAGCCCCGCAGGCCCCGCGCCCTCCCACCCCAGTTTCCACCCAGGTCCGCGGGGCCTGGGCGCAGGCCCGGAGGCCCAGGGAGCAGCACGTGCCTCTCCTCGAAGCCTCGTGCCGCTCGCGGGCGGGAAGTGTGGCCCAGCCTCCGCGCGCCCACCGCATACCCTCCTGCCTGGGGGTGCTGGTGTCGAAGCTTCTAGATGCCATGCAGTGACCCGGCCAGGGGGCGCGTCCGACCTTCCCACCCGCAACCTCAAGTGTGACTTTCTGGAATAGGCTGTCTAGGGCCAATCAACAACCGCAAGGAAACTGAGGCCCAGGGGTTCGGGTACCTTGCTCCGGAGAAGGCCACATGGTTGTCCGAGCGAGTGCAAGGCCGGGTCTCCTGGCTTCGTCCCACCCAGCAGCCCAGAGGACAGCTGGGCCCCTCAGAAGGTGGAGGGTAGAGGCTCCCCAGCACTTGGGCCTCGAGAGGTGCGGGCGGCTGCTGCGGGGGCCCACGCGGCCGGGGACGGGAAAGGCAGGGCCGCAGAGGTGAGAGCCCAGGAGGCCACAGCAGCCGGGTGCCCAGGCCCAGGCGGTGAGCGCTGGGCTCCCGCGTCCCGGCATCCCCGGCACGTGCGGGGCCCGCACGCGAGGGGCCACCGCGCACCCGGCAGGTCGGGCCTGGACGCCAGTCCCCCGGGAGGCGGCGCCTAAGGGCGACCTGAGCGGACCCGGCCGGCCCTGCCTGCCAGGCCCGGGTGTGGGGGGGGGGGCGGCGCCGCGGGGCCACGCTAGGTGAGGCGGGCGGGGGCTGCGCCTCCAGCAGGCTTCAGCTTAGTCGGCGAGGCTCGGTTTGTTGGGGTGGAAAGGGAGGAAAGGGTGGAAATGGTGGAAAGGATGGGCCCAAGCCAGGCCGACCGAATCCGGAGGCAGGACACGGGCCAAGAAGGCTTTCAACAGCCGGGCGCGCAGCCCTGCGACCTCGCTGGCGCGGGACCCTAGGGCAGGGTCGTTCTCCGAACCCGGCCTCGCTGCGTGTTCTTAGGTCTCACATGGAGTAGAAAGAATAGAGGGTGTTGGTCACTTCCCAGGAAACTTTTCGTTGTTTCCTTATTTCCTTCCCTCCAATGGACAAGTTGAGCAGCTTCTTGGCCTTGCAGCCAGGAGCTATCAGGCCAAACCCAATCTGTGGAGTTCGGGCTCTGGATTTTTGTGGGTGTGCACCCTTGACCCCCATCTGCCCTGAGAGGGAGGTGGATCCCCCCTTACCCACCCTAGCTCCATGCCGGGCGTGTTCCTACCCGGCCCGGGTGAAATGCCCCCTCGTCGACTTTTCCAGGTTTTGTGTTTGTATATTTTAAAGAAACTTTACAACATGAACAAAGATAATTTGGCTACTTCTGGCGCAGGCTGAGGTTTATAGGGACATCTTACAGCACGTGGCAGGAATGACTAGGATTCCCCCAGCCGCATGAAGCTACCCGGTACAGCTCAGCAGAAAGGAAGGTTGTCTGCTGCCAATATGCAGGACACAGATCGGTTTTTTTGTCGTTTTGTTTTCTTTTCCTTTTTGGCTCAGCTCTGAGAGCATTACAGAGCTATCGTTTCCCGCCTCCCGTCCCTCTTCCCCTCCCCCTCTCTTTCTGGTGCAGGCAATTAGGGTGAAGAAATCAGTGCCAGGCTCCTGCCTCTGAAGAGAAAGGAATTGCTTCCAGAATTGAGTCCTGACACCTGTCTCTGTCCTGCATGGCGAGGGAGATTCGGGGTCAAAACCTTGGGGGGTGTAGGAGGCCAGGCTGACCGTGGGGTGTGAGAGGAGACACTCCCTAAACGAACGTTTCTGGGGGCTTCTCTTACCACGACTTCCCACCCTATTCTTTTGGTCTCCAGTTTCACGCAGGTCATTAACGCGCGGGTTATTAACGCAGTTCCCCTCGCTTTTAGCCCCCCGAGACCGGGACCTGAGGCTGGAATCAGAAGAGCAACACTGACAAACCGTTCATTAATTTGCATTTATTTTCGGGAAATAATGTAGATAAGGAGGAGGAGGGGAACTGCCTTACATTTCAACAAGTAATTTGTGATCTTCACATCGGACAAATCAAATTTACAAATTGCTTTCCCACCTACTGGACGAAGCGGCCAAAACCAAAATTGATACACAGGCGCGCGGGCTCACCGCAGATTTCGGAGAATGAAGGTGCACTAAAAACTTACTAGACAAAAACAGGGATGTTTAGAGAGGAGCAGACAGAGGAATTGGCTGGGGCTTGGGGCCTGGGTTTCTTTCTCCACAATGCTGTAATTTCACCTTTTTTTGTTTTCTTTTGGTTTTGGTCTCTAAGCCGGAACTGCGACCCATGCTTAGACCGGGCGAAGGGGTCAGTCCTGCGCCCCGGCCCAGCCTAGCTCCCACCCCTGAACCCTGACTTGACTGTTTCCACCACACTCCCGATCCTCTGCACCCAGCTTCTCGGAACCAAGCGGTTCTCTTTAATAAATACGCAGAGGGAGATGTGAGGAGAGCAGGACAGCTTTGTACCAACTGAAAAATAAAAAGCGCCATCATTTGAGGAAAAGGGACAGAGGGAAAATATTTTTTGCTTTTGCTTTATATATATGTGTGTATATATATATGTGTGCTGTATATATCTTAAAGTTCAGTTTCCTGGGCGCTAAGACGAGATATGCTCAGTTCAACCAACAGCAACTAAAAAGTGTAAGTGGTCCCTGGAACGGACCCGACTATGTACAGCATTCCCGCGGAGGCGGAAGCTTGAACCAGTCCAGCTCAGGGCGGTGGAGGGGTGGGGGCGAGGCTAGGGGCGCTGGAGGCTGGGCGTGCTCCTCCTGAGGGCCTGGCCCAGTGCACCCCACTGGGGAGGAGGAAACGCCAGGACGCGATGGCCTGCAGGCGGGGAGTGGGATCCAGGGTAGCTGAGGGGCGACAGTCTGCGGGGCAGAAACACTTGGTGACTGTTTTGATTTGGAGTAGTGTGTCTGGGTGCACGCCAATGGGCAGATGCACGCCAGTTAGTGACTCCAGGGTCCAGAAAGAATAAATAAAAGTGTTGAGCTCAGGCAGAGGGTCAGAGCGAAGAGCCTCCGAAGGCTGCAAGTGCATAATAGCTGTCCAGAAAGACTGGAAGGGGTGACTTGGGGGTTGTGTGGGGGTTGTGGGGGACAGCACACAGCTATCCCGCATAGAACGTGTGGGTCAAGCCGAAGCACTGGCTCCCTTATCCAAAAGGTAGGCAGGTTTGCAAACCTCCCAAGCATGTGGCACAAATATGGGAGCGGCAGTGCAGGCAATTGGGCATCTTTTGGGGACGTGAAATCTCAGTTTTGGAGAAGCCGAGACATGGGCGGTGCAGCAGCAGCAACAGGATGGGGACCACGGAGGGCGCAGGTAGTTGCGTTTCTTCTCCTCTTCCTCTCACTCCCGGGCTCACAAGACCTGGAACCGCCATGAGGCTTGGTCCTTATAGTCCAGACAGTCGGTCGAGTTGAAGTTGAGTTTCCAGGCGGAGGAAGCAGCGGCTGCTCCAGGCTCCTTGTAATCCAAGCAGTCGGCGGAGTTGAAGGCAAGCCCCGAGCCACCGTAACCTTGGTGATGATGGTGGTGGTGATGGTGATGATGGCCTGAGGACTGGCTCAACGGGTGGTGCGCGTGCGGGTGGTGGTGGTGGTGGCCTGCCATGGAGGAGGGTGCCATGGGGCTGAGCTGGTGCGGGTGGTGATGCGAGTGCATGGGAGCTAGGTAAGAGCTGCAGTCCACGCCGCCAAAGTAGGACGAGGAGGGCGCGGGGTAGCCCTGGCCGTAGCTGCCTCCCTGGCCGTAGGACATGGGGTAGGAAGCTGCTGCCGTGGCCGCACCCGCGGCTACTGAGCGCTGCATACAGGAGGCGTTGCTCGGCGCGGCCAGTGGCTCGGGCACTGACACCGACGGCGCTGAGCCAGGCGAGATGGAGGCTGGGCTCCAGATGGACGAAGCAGCCGGCGTACTCAGAGACGACGCGGCTGCCACCGACGGGTTCCCTCCAAGGCCCGCAGCCGCTGCGGCCGTGGGGTTGGCGGAGGCGCTGGACGCCGAGCTAGACGAGGAGGCAGAGCTGGACACAGCGGGAGGCGTGAATTGGCCGCTGCTCTCGGAGCCGGAGCTCTCCCGCACTGGAGACGACTTCTTCTTGACTGGGCGGCTCTTGGTTCCGTTCCCGCTCTGCTGCTGCTGGCGGCACTTGGCGCGACGGTTCTTGAACCAGACCTGCAGCGGGCCGGACGAGAGAGAGCAGGTTGGGGGGGGGGTGGGGGTGGGCGCAGCTTCCTGCTCCTCCGCCCCTGCGGCCACCACCCCCGCCCAGGATCTCGCGTCCCTCTCCATCCAAGCCTCCGCCCCCGCCAGACCCTGCCCCCTCCCCCGCACGTCGGTCTGCAGCCCCCGCGCCCTCCCCCATCTTTCTGCGCAAAGCCGCTCCTCCGCTGGCTCCGGAGTAGGAAAGCGCACCTCCCCACCCGCAGCGCAACTCTGCCCGAGGGCAGAACGTTTGCGTCTGTCCAGCCAGAAGTTCAGCCATCTCTAAGCTGCTGCTGTCGGCTCCTTCCCACTGCCCGTTGAATGTTTGGAGGCCCTGTTTTCCATGCACAGAGCTCAGGAAACAGAGGATTAACACTGAGCATCGGAGTGCGGGACGGGCACCAAGTGTGGGGCCTTGAGCGATTTCATTGAGCCGGCCTCCCAGGGAAGGCGAATATTTGGGTAGGAGTAGGAGCAAGGATGGAGGCTAAACAGAGGCTGTACTCGAGTGAATACTGGGGCTTCTTGGGAAGATAGTCTGAGTGAGATTTCGTTGGATTTTTTGGCTCCAGGTGAGGAGCCAAAAGGAAAGTCCAGTCGTAGAGTTCTTACTTCTTTCGGTCCTTTCTCGAGCCTTCAGGGAAAGAAGGCGAGACAAAAGATTCTTGCGGAGAGTTCGGAATTAAAATCCGAACTGCATTTTCGGAGCCCCTTCATCTTAAAACTAGAAATAGTAAAGCCAACAGGCAGGTCTTGCACTGAATCGGGCAGAGAGCGCGTCTAATCAGACCGACGCCACCCGTGGAGCATACTCCCAGGCTGAGCACTAGGCTCTGGCCAAGCTCCACTCTTGCCCTCTCAGAATCCCCAGGACACAAGGCAAGGGCGGAGACCGAAGTTGGGCCTGAGAGGGAAACTAAGTCCTGGGGCTGCACAGGAAGCAATGGCAAGTATCGGACCCTTAGGACACTTTACATTCGGGAACCTAGCACCTAGCTCTCCTCCCGAAATGCTGAAAACGACTTTCTTTACCAAAGGTTCCCTGGGGACAAGAGCAGGATTCAGGGCTTTAAGTCGTTTCCTTCAACTTTGCCCCCTTTCTTGGCTGACGCCTAGCGCTAGGGGGAGTCCGAGAGGGGCTGCCCAGTCTGTAAGCCTGCCTCCACACCAGACCACCTTCTCCGACTGGCCCCAGCGCCCCACCCTGACCCTAGAGCCCCAGGAGCGCGCACCTGGACTCTGGACTCTGGCAGGTTGATCTTGAGCGCCACCTCCTCGCGCATGAAGATGTCAGGGTAGCGAGTCTTGGCGAAAAGCGCCTCGAGCACGTCCAACTGTGAGCGCGTGAAGGTGGTGCGCTCCCGCCGCTGCTTCCGCGGGGTGGCTGCGGGGACATGGCAGGGGCGCCTCGGGTCAGCGGTGGCCACGTGGACTGGCGCTAGAGGGCCTGGGCAGGTCCCCTGGCAGGCCCCGAACCCGGCCGCGGCAAGAAAAGGCCGAGTTCCCAGCAAAAGAAACTCCCCAGGGAAGCAGAGCCTGAAGGCCACAGGTGGGAAAAAGTGCAAGTATTTGACTAGGAGCCCGGTTCTCCAAGACACTAGGGATGGCCTCCTCCCTCTCAGGTTAAAAGGAAGAGAAGTCATACAATCTCTTTTTCTCCACATCCCCCCCCACCCTTCCCCCGCCACAAACACCCACTCCCCTGGCTGGGGGACAAGCAGTGGAAAGAGGGTGCTCAGAAACACGACCCGGAAAACACTTGCCGAGGGAATAAATGGGGGTGAAAGAGTGGGAGCTAGAAAAGAAACCCAGGACTCAGCTGGAGCCGTCCACTACACAAGAACGAAAGCTGCTGCAAGGCACTGGCCTAAAGGACAATTTGATTAGAGAAGAATTCCCCTCCTCCAGTGCAAATACTTCGCATAAGGAAGTTTGGTTCTTCATATCAGGGCCTAGCAAGGGTCCAGATTCCTCATTCAATGTTGGGGGACTCGGGGGGAAAGATTCACACACACACACACACACACACACACATACCCCCAAACAAATCCAAGAGAAGCTCGTGGGAAACGAATCCGTGGGTAAATAAATGCGCTCTACGCGGGAGGTGGGCCCACAACCAAAGAGAGGTTGCGGGTATCGCCGGCTCAAATGGCGCGATTTGCACGTTTTCGAAGCTCTGGCCACCTCACCAACCTGTGACCCGCGATCACAACCCGACTGCAGGTCTGGCATTGCAAAGAGGCTAAGCAACTGGCTCCCAGGGCCTGTTTGGCGACTACGTGGGCTCAAATTCGAGAGGCCAGAGTCCCAAACATTTGTAGAGGTTGGGGGCAAGGAGGAAGGGCCAGTGCTCACCCGGATAGCCCACGGAGGGGTGCAGGAGGTCCATGGCGGGCCCGGCTAGGCCCAGCCCATTCATGCCGTATGGGGGTTGTTTGAGGTAAGACATCATGCTAACAGTCGGGTGGAGGCGCCCCGACGGATCCAGGGGGCTTGGGGCCAGGAGCGGCGCAGAGCTCCCACCGCGAAGTCCTTCAAGTTGTTGCGTCTAGGGGCCTGGCCTAGGGAGACAGGAGACACACGGAAACCGTCACTAGAGTCACTTAGACTTCCATGTCTAGTCCAAGACGAGGGCCCGGGATGGGGAGGGGGCGCAGGCTACGAAATTGCACAGGACACCCAACCCAACTCAAGGCCTTAGCTCCGCAATCACACACTGCTTCTTTGAAAAAGTAAACTTTTTCTGGACTATCCCTGCCTCTTTTCGGGCTTGGCATGGGCCAAAGACACTCTTGGGGTGTCCACAAGGAGTGGAGAGAGGTTAAAAGCATGACCATACTGCGAGGTTGGAAACTGGAATTGTGGAGTGTGCAAAATCCCAAGTGTAGGCAAAATTTTGAGTCCGGCAGAGGCCGGCTTCATATTGCTCAAGCAAATATTCACTTGGCGCCCTGACGGCAGGCCGCCCAAAGCATGAGGGGTTGTTTCGTTTTGTTTCAAATGTTTCTGAAAGCGGGACAAAAAAGTAGACACTACAGAGGGCCAACGTGAGGAAATGCATAGGGCTTGTCCTCTCCGGGACGCATTGCCCATTTAGGACACGTCATTCCATCAAAGGTCTCCAGGCTGCCCCTCTGCCCTAGCCCGTAATCACCATTTCAGCAGACCTCTCTGTGCCCAGCCACTGAGGGATGGCTCACCCGCAGTCTCATTGTGTCTGAACCGCAGTTCCGGGACCAGGTCCCTCACAGGACGCCGAAGGGGCCACAGTAGAAGTGGCAGTTCCAAGAGGACGCCCGAGGGGTGCCTTGGACGCGACTACCCGCCCTTTTTCGCTCGAGCAGGCCGGGCCTTCTTTCTACCAAGTCTTGCTGCGCAGAAACAAGTCCCACCAGGGAATGAAGGGTGACCAGGCCATCGCCCCAAAGGGTCTTGGAGATTTAGGAAGCCTGAGTACAGCAGGTCGCGTGCGTTCTCTGCCATCCTACTAGCTGAACCCGCAACCCCAGAACCCGATCGAGAACCGAGAACTAGGCCTCAAGCGGTAAAGCTCAGGCAGATCGGAGCTGGCCCGTCGAAGCTTCGCTTCCACAGCTACTCCGAATGCGTGGCGCAACTGTGAGGAGTAAGGAAGGGGCGCCAAGGCGTAGGATGGGAGCCCCGGAGGGCCTGATCTCTACATCCCGCTTTGCGGGAATTCTGTAAAGCAGGCTAGAAACCCAGGCGAGGGAATTCGGGGAGAGACGTCAGAGCTAAAGAAGCTCCCCATCCCAACCCCCAACCCCGCTCCGGTCCTCTGGGACCCAAGGCCTGGGATCCGGAACCCAGCTTGCAGGGAAGGGGATGATCAGGGAAACATCCAGGGCTCAAGGTCCTCAGGAAAACAGGTTTCAAGCCAAGGCAGTACTGCTAGGGTGTGGGGTGAGTTTTCAAAGACTTTCTCCAAACTTAGCACTTGAGCTCGGTTACTTCGGAGGAGGCGGGGGAGGGGGCGCCGAGCCGCAGTGGCGGTCTAGGGGTTCTCCGCGCCCCAGGAGGGGAGCTAGGCCTCTCCCCAGCCCCGCCCACCTGCGGGGGGACTGGGGAAGCAAGGATCGGTTTGAGGAGGGGGGAGGCAGGAGTAACCAACACGCTCCCCGGAGTTCCGCGCGGTCCGCGGCTCTCTCCTTACCTGCCCTCAGCTGCCGGGGCCTCTCACCATCTACCTTGCGTCCTCAGGGATCCGCCGGGCAGCCAACCTGCAAAACAGAGCGGCACAGGAATTACCCCGGCGGCTGGACTAGGACCCCTGGAGTTCTTTATTTCTCCAACTTCCTTCTTTCCATCTCTCTTTTTCCAGGAGCTTTGTGCGTGTCCCTCCGGGTTTCACTTTATTGCACAGACACTTTGTTTGCAAAGCCCCACACGCTCCCAGGACATTGCTTAGCCCCGGACCGCGCCTAGGGGCCTCCAAGGGGGAGGGGATGCGAGGTGCAGAGTTGGGAGATGGCTCGCGGTGGCGGTTGCACTCTCGGTGCAGCGCGGAGGCGGTGGGGATTGGGAAAGTCCTGCAGAGGCACTTGGCAAACTAAATAAATCAAGCGATTTACCTTGTCGGAGTGGCTTGTCTTGCTCGGTTGTTTAGGTGATTGGAAATGTAGCCTGATGAAGATTGATCACCTTTCTACTGCCCTCCCCGGGTATGTGAACGCGAGGCGAGTGCGTAACGGGGCTAGGCCGCCAATCCGGGGCCTAGCGCGGGCTGAGTGACAGGGAGCCGGGCAATGGCAACGCGAGCCGGGGGTTACCTCCGCGCGCCCCCGCCCCACCCCGCCCCCTACACTCCGCCCTCGCCGCCCGCCCCGCCCCGCCTGGGTCGCGCGCTAACTCTGGGGCTCCGCTGGCAAATTCCGCGCAGAGGGAGTCGTGGAGGGCAAGCCGAACGCCCGAGTCCCAGCCGCAGAGGGGACCCGGGTCCCGAGGTCTGCCGGGGGACCCTCCCGCCCTTTTCTCGCCCTCCTGGCGCTCCCGAGAGTGGCAGAGAGGGGGCGAGGCGCTGGATAACCGGTTCTTTCTCTCTCCCGCGCGCCACCGGACTTGGCGGCCAGAGTACGGGCGCGCCGATTCGGGGGCGGCGGGCTGGAGGAGCGGCGGCCCCTGGCCCCTCTCGCGGCGCCGGGGGCCCCGGCGTCCGCTTCCTCCGCTCCCCCACTTGCAGACGGACGCCGCGAGCGGCCCGTGCCGGCGCAAGCTCCTTTGCAGAGCGCGCGGAAGCAGTTCCCGGCGCGCAGGTCCCCCTCGGCGCCTCGGGACTCCTGCGCCGGGAAGATCACCCGCCGGGGCAGGAGCCGCCACTTACCAACTCCTCGGCGTCTCCAGGGGTTCCCTGATCACCACCAAGGGTGTTTGCAAGTCTCAAAGCTGCTTCTGAACCGTTGGAACTCGAGTCTCCTTGCCCTCACACATACACCCTACTTCATAATCATAAGGTTTTGATAGGAAACTTTCTTTTTCACACTGTGTCTCCTTCACGTCGCCACCTACCAGGGACAGTCTAGTGAAAAATGTGGCCACAGCCCCCAGCCCCTCCATTTCTTTCTCATATGCTGCGGAAGGAGCCTTCTTGAAGCGATTTCCCCGGATAGTTCGTACTGCAAACCCCAGTCTCAGTCAAACAAACTTGCCGAACACGTCTACCTGAGTGGACTTTTCAAAGCGCAAAAGAAAAAAAAAAAAAAAAGGTGTTTTCGGCCCAACCCTGAGCCAGGAGATTCTTTTAAATGGCACCTCCTACCGAATATTAGGGACGAATATTAGGGAGTAAACTCCCTTTCGAGGAATTCCTACCCTTTCTCCTAATCTGCTCCCACCCCCACCCCAACGCGCGGATGAAAAGTTTGATCAGGAGTGAGCGCGAGGGCGATCCGGGAGTCGCCGGGCGCACCGCACTGGGAAGCGCCCGCACCGACCGGGCCGCGGGGTCGGGCACCCGGAGCTGACCAGGCGCGGGGCGAGGAGGAGGAGGAGAAGGAAGCGGGGAGCCCGCTGAGTGAAAAGGGGCCGCGACCGCCGCTCATCAAAGTGCTTCCCCCTCCCCCAGGCGACACTTTCCTTTGGAGTCCGAATAAAATACGGTAACAGAATATGATGGAGGGCACACTGTTTCCTTAACTGCTTCTCAAAGGACCCGGGAGATCTTCTTAGGACCTTTAATAAGGCTTTGGTCGGTTCTTTTGTTGATCTCTCAAAATCAACTCCTTCTAATTGAAGTTGGAGCTGAAAGCGAGCTAATGTTCAAAGAAAGTGGCCGCCAGACCAACGAAATTACATTTTTTTTTAACGATGAAGGAACATCTAATCAAAGGGGCAGGGAAGGAGGGGTGTGAGTGGGGGAGTGCGGAGGAGAAAAGGAGGTTTTACAAGATCCTTCTCTGGTTCACAAAAGTCAGCGACACGGGCGCTTCTCTCCAGAACAAAGACACCGCGGCCCATTCACAAAAGGGAGAGAAAGAGAAAGCAGAATAAAAGAACGAGAGGAAAGGGGGGAAAAGAAAAGGGGGGAGAGAGAACGTGTGTGAGAGAGGAAAAAAACAAAACAGCGAGGAGCACAGTGCTGGCCCAGGCGGGGACACACCTTAGGCTCTCGCAGGCCCCCCCACTGGAGTAGGCTCACTCCCACCCAGGCCCCCTTATTTTCTGGAAGTGGTTTTTTTTTTTTCGCGAGATGGCTCATTGTGGCAACCTATTTGCGCTTTGGGCTGGGGGGCTTTGAAGCCATGGATCCTCTGAATCTTTTCTTTGCTTCCCTAAAGAAGTAAGCCTAGGGCCCGGCCAAGGCCGACGGGTTCAGCCGGCCGCGCTTTTGGAGCCTCGGCGATCGTGCTGAGGTTTAAACGAAATCCCCTCCGTCCCCCAGTTTCGGAGAAACACTCGGGCTGGGGCACCCTAGTTTGGCCGGGAAGAGTACGCGGGCGTGCCGGGGTGCGCGCTGGCGGCGTCCGCGCCGGTAGCTGGCGCTGCCAGAGCCCTGGCCTGCGCGCTGAGTGCCGGGGTTGGCCCTCGGAGCTGGGGCGCGCGCCCGAGGGGGGGGCGGGGGGGCCGACCGCAATCTTCGTCCTCTGCCTCCTCAGCGGTTTTAGCTTAAAGCAGTTGTAGAACCCAGGCGGGTTCGTTTATGCAAGGTGGGGAGACAGGCCGTGCGACGCTGGAATGTGACTCCTTACAAAGCGCTTGTCCCTAAGGAAACCGCGGGCGGGGAGTACAGCGCTCTTGGTTCCAGATGCTGCCACAAAGTCTCGGGGAAGTCGGGAGGTATCAGGTAGCACGGATTTTTTCCCCCTAACGCAGGAAAAGTAATTATCTCAATCAAATTGCGGCGGCGAATTTTCTTAAATAGGCCTCAGCCATTAAACCCGGGATACGAAAAAAAGGGAGAGGAGAGGAGAGCGGGAGCAGAGTGAAGAGTGAGATGAAAGTTTCTTGAATGCGGTGGCAGAGGATTGAGACGGCGGTCGCTAGGCAAATGTCCAGGTGGGGGACACTGGGCCTGAAGCCGTGACGGTTCCAGCAAACCGCCGCGGCGCAGGAAGAAGAAAGTGGGGACGGCGCTGGAGGAGGGGAAGCAGCCCCACTTTAAGGCCCCGGGCCGGGAGAGGGCGAGGTACTTGGGCCCCGAGACCCGGATTAGCATCCAGGTGGCCCTAAAGCCAGGGCAGACTCAGGAGGTTTGTTGGGACAGGGGGAGGGGTTTGGATCCCGGGCCGAAGGGCTCCTGGCCAGAGACAAAAGTTCTGCACTGGCCCTGGACTGTGCCCACGTCCGCGCGCCGCTAACGCTTCTGCTCCTCCGAGACCCCCAGACCAGACTCTGAACCCACAACGCGGGTTTCCAGGTTCTTTGGCGTGCGGGCTTCAGCGCCCGTCATTGGGGCCGGCACTGGGCCACAGATGAAGCAAAGGTCGGACGCGGCCCTCGCGGGTCCCCACACGCCGCAGTCCCGGGGGTCCAGACGCTGCACCGCGGACGACTAGAGGTGGGCGTTCGGTCGCGCTGCGGTGATGCAGTCCCGGAAGTGGAAACGCGGAGGCTGGGGATAGGAATTACAGGATGTGGACAGGAACCCGCAAATCTGGATCTAGGGTGCGAGAGCGAGAGGCCTTTTTGTACTTGGCAGACCGCAAGCGGCCAGGGGGGGCAGGGGAAAGCCGCCGGCGCTCGAGGCTCCTCGGAGGGGCTTTCGGGATCCAGCGTAAGCGGGTGGGTGCTGCTGATGTCCAAAGCTCCCATCGCAATTTTGGGGGCCGGACGATGTTTGCTGCCTGCCCGTTACAATTGGGGGTGAGAGAAGGTTTTTGATATGTTCTCCGCCCAGAGAGCAGCAACTCGCTGTTCTCCCCCTCTAAAAAAGAGGGAAAATACCAGCTTTCGTTAAGTTTCAGGAAGTTTTTAACAACTTTTTAAAAAATTCTCTTCCTGAATGAATTCGTATGTGGCAAGGTTTTTTTTTTAAATCATTTTGAAAAGACTGGCAAGTGAAAGTGGCAGCATACTTTTCGAACAAAGTGTGTAAATATATTGGGGGAGGAGGAGGGGGGGAGGGGGGGAGAGAAGAGGAGGGAGAGATGAGCAGGGAGGGAGGGGGAGGGGGGGGGGGAGAGAGAGAGAGAGAGAGAGAGAAGAGAGAGAGAGAGAGAGAAAGAAAGAAAAAGAAGAAAGAAATTATCTAGGCTAAAGTGTAAATTGGTAGTGTTTTCTTTAAAGTTTCCGGACTTGTTGAAGGAGCTTCCTTTGTTTGGACACCCCGTAGGGGAGTGATGTAAACTAGCACAGAAAAGCCAGATTTTCCCTTGGCCTAGATAGAACTTCTTGTTAAAAGTTCTCTTTCTGTCATCTCATACACACACTCCTCCAACAATCCACCTTTCCCGGCAATAACCCTCTTCCTTTCACTTCAGCACCCACGGACTTGGGACTTGCTGGTTATGGGAACACATAGTTCTCCCTCATACAACTGCAAAACTGCAACAATTCAAAGTAATAACGTGGAAAACTCATCCTAGTATTTTTTTTTTTCATTGGTGGGGAATCACAAATTTCCTCAAATCTTTAGCAGAGATGACCCTTTTCAAAAGAGAAGATAGTTTACACTCCTTAAGAATATGACTAATTACTTTTCAATTTGCATTTGTGTGTCACAGGGCTCCTCTGGAATGTATAGACTTATCCAGCTCTAAATACAGTCTAGTATCCCGCTCTGTGTTCCAGAGGACCATTTTCTACATGAAAAGTATTATGGATACATGGATACACAGATTTCCACTCAAGTTTTCATTGTAAGAAAAATAGGAGCAGTGTGTAAGGTAAGAAAGTTTCTGCTTTTATTGAAAATTTATATGACTCAGTATTGTAATAAATAAACAACCATTTTCAAAAAAATGACAGTGCTGTGCTAGAGAAGAAAATATTAACTGAGAAGATTTACTTGTAGTGGCAAGACAGACTTATCAATACAGAATAAATATTAACAGCATTCTTGAGCCAATGTTGAGACCCAACAAAATGTAGGGACCAAGCGAGGTGTAATAAATAATTATCTAGAGAAGTATATGGTGCATTCTCTGATGACAAAACTGTCTCTGTAAACTGCTACATGTCAATTCGTCCCATCCTCTCAGCTAAATTTCAAACCACAGGGCTCGTTTCAGCTACCTTTTAAAGGGCCATCCTCAGAGGAAAGCAGAGAGGAACTCTATTATCCTTAGTGAAATGCAAAACAACAGCAGAAAATCCACTGGTAAATAGAACACAGTTTAATAAGTAGATTGAATATGATGTAACTATGAAATTTAGGTAACAGAGTAAATGTTACATATGGCAGGACTGACTGGAAAAAAATCATGACATTTTCCCCCCCTCCCCCCACTATACCAACAAAAATGTTTCAAATTTTCCTCCATCAAAAAATGAGGGAAAATAACCAGGGAAGCGGTTTTTCTTTTTAGAACAGTTTCTTGAACACTTCCAGTACCAATTACTCACAAGGTGTCTGTGCAAATCTATTTCACATGATTTCAAAGAAAATGATTAACTCACACACAAAAAAAATCCCTTAACAAAGCTATTTTGGAGTTCTGTATAGTATCTGGAAAGGAGAAAAAGGGGTGGTGGTGGTATAGAAGTAGAATCCAGTCAAACAAAATGTTAAAAGTTTTAAATCAACCAGTCTGACTGTTTCTGGTCTGGGGACCCAAGACTCTAAAATGCTGGGAGAGATTCTGGTCTGAAGGCTACTGAAGAACACATTTCTCCTCCTTCTTGGCCATCTTGCCTTTGTTTTGCTCCAGAGTTCGCTCCAAATGCTCATCTTCTTCTTCGGCCCTGGATGTCAGACAAACAGGAAACAATTATTTTTCTTCATGGAGGGCAGAGCAACACTCCCCCTCGCCCCATATTTGGATCCCCAGCAGAAATGGGGAGCACTGGGCCAGGGGCCCTCCAAGACCTCTAGATTGAACTTTGTGTAAACTTCTCGGCCCTTCGGCAGGTGGCTGCGCCGGAACCCAAACCCCACAGCCCACTCACTGTTTCTCCTGCGCATCTAGGTCCCTGACGAGTGCATCGCGCTTGTTCACCAGAGTCACCAGCTCATCCAGCAGGAGCTGCTCGCGTCGTTTCTGGGCCTCTGTCTTCTGCCAGTCTACAGGGGATGGGAGGCTAGTTACCCACCAATCGAGCCTGCGTGCACACCCGCCTTTTCCAGTTTCCTTCCATCTCTCAACAAACCATGTTAATGGAGCTACTAGATAGTGTTTTCTGGGTAGTTTAGTCGTTGTGTTGAGGGTTTTCCCCTAAAGCCCTACTTTATAAATACTTCCCACAGATGGAGATTGGTGCGGCAGAGTTGGAATCAGCTAGCGACCAGGTGTGAGCCGGTGGCCAGCAGGAGGCTGCAGGCGCTCACCTGAATCCAGGCAAAGTGGGGGAGGGGGGCCGGAGGCCAAAGAGGTGGGCCCAGAGATTGGGGTGGAGGGAGTGCGTAAGTGAGGGGGCGGGAAACACAGATAGGCGATAAAATCATTCTGAAAAGGCTAGAGAATCTGCCTGAGAACCAACTCTCCTCCCCCACCCCCACTCTCACCCCAAACAGCCCATTCTTCACTAATTTCCTCTTCTCTCTATTTTAGCAGTTGGATGTATCTCACACTGGGCGCCATATGCTTCACAATAACTTTAAAAGTAGTGAATCGGCTAATTAGCATTTTTCTTTGAAGTAAAAAATAAATTTGCTCTGCAATATTACACTGCAGCTCTCGATCGCATCACAGCCAGTTTTCATTTGGAGACGTTTGCTGGGTGGTTTCAAATCAAAGCACTTTTGCAATGGAAAAATTACATATTTCATTTTGAAACTCCATGTTAAAAATCCTATGGGCAGTGCTCTTTACATGGGTAAGGGTCGTTTTTCTGAAGGTTTCTGGCCCCAGTAATGTATTTCCTAATCTTTGCTGGTCTGATAATTTCCTTAGGATGAGCAGCAGTTTCATTTAATAAAAACAGGACCAAATCGAACATTTAAAACACTTTTGAAACCAAAGCCAACTGCTCTCTGGCCAGACTGTAAGGGCTTGTAGCTGTCAATCAACCCCCAGCCTACCCCGCCTCCCTCATTAGGAAGGTAAACAATGAAAAGAAGAAGTAGATGATGAGGCAGATAGCAGAACAAATGAGGACCTAGAGGGAAACAGGACACCAGCTTAAAAAAAAAAAAAAACCACCCTGGCCACTGACTCTTGTAGCCCCCTCCCCCCAGCAAATGCACTTTCCAAAAAACAGAGAGGAGCGCAATCCTTTTGGGTTTCTGGGTTTCTGTCTTCTCTCTCCATTGCCCAGGGCAATCATGTTAAAACTCACATGGCTGGTGCTTATTCAGATAAACCTAACAATGCACACCGCTGGTTACCATGTGAATCTTCATGAGCCTCACAAGAATGTGTGGTTCAAATCCCCGCGACCCCCTCCAAAGCAAAATTTATTCAAGACAGCAAACTGCTCAGCCTCTTTATGAAAGCAAATGGTGCTAGAGGGAATTCTATCTTGTATTTACAAATTAAAAATTAGATGCATCATCATGCAATAAAGGTTAGAATAGTTTATTAAATTTTATCACTGTTCCTTTCATTATAAGCTCAAACATAAAAATATATATGAAACATGCCATATGTTCATTATCTACATTCGATAAAAAAAATCACAAAAACAACTGATCATTGTTACATTCTTATTTAAAAAGTGAACTATTCTATAGCATAGAGAGGAATAAAGAATTTTAATGATAATAATAGTAATAATAAAAACTGAAGAGAAGCTCTGTCACAATTTTACTTTTTGGATTTAAAACAAAACCAAAGACAGGATTGCTGAAAATTCCTCTAATGTGGTTCTTGTTCTTAAATCAGTCTTATTTTACAGAGTAAGTAAATTATAGACTCTCCAAGTTGGAAAGATCTTTAAGATCATTTGTCTAATTTCAGTTCTAGAAGTACTAATTTAAAAAATCCTGCTGAATTTATAAAAATTGTAACTAAATTTTATACTTATTAAATTACCAGCTTTGGCTAATATTCAATTTCCAACCTCAAGAAATTATTTATACTTTTTTGCTTCTAAAACATTTTAACAACTTTGCAACCGGAAAATAAATTTTCTCCACCATACCCAAAAAATATAAATCGAAAATTAAAAAACTGAAACCAAGAAAAAATAAAATTAAACATGAGATACATTTTTAATTGAATTACTCCTATGAACTTGACCAATCACTTTTAAGGTTTTAATTAGTAATTCAAAATAACAGAATTTCTTCAACATTGGAAAAACTAGGATTTTTAACAATATGAATAAAAAACAAAACATTTTTAATCCCTGAAGTATTGAATAATTTTTTTTAAAGTCTCAGCCTTTTCTTACTTCAATAATGACATTATCTAAAACTGGAATAAAAATTTTTTAAAACTAAAAATATTTAGGTAATTTTCATCATTTTAGAGTCTAATTTAACAGATACCAGAATTTAAAATATTCTAGCATAAATTTATAGTATTTTTTTCCTACTAAGTCTCTCATTACTACATTAATATCTAGTATAAAATTTTAGTCAAATACAGAGCAAATAGCTATGTGAATAGTTTTTACATTAGTAAAATTATATTTTTACTCTCTGGTGGTGAAATAAATTATATGCTCACACATACATTCATCCACACACATCCATATTATGTTTGAATGCTAATTTAAGAAATTAAGTAGACTATTTTAATCACTAAAAATATGGCATTTAAAATTGATCAAGATTTATATTTTTGTGTTTAAGCCTAATTTTAAAAATCCCCCTTTAAATAGTTTCACCTACACATGTCCTGTTTTAAAAATCTGTGTGTAAGTTTATATGTGACCTGTTACGTATTTTAAGAAAGAATTGCTCACCTATAATACTAGTCACAGCTAGCTAGCTGCACTGACTGGCTTGGACAGACTACAATGTGAGTTCTGATTAATTTAAAGATTCTAGTGTACTTTTGCTACAAAAGCCATATCCTCTCACAACAAATAGGATTAAGTTTTGATGCTGCATTTGAGCTGAAGTGTTGAAATAAAGAGACTCTGTTTATGTCCGTCTGCACTGAGCTGTTTTGTTAATTCAAAAAACTCTTTTTCATATATAGGGCCAATTATTCATTCCTTGATTCAGTTTACTTGTTGAAGTTGATAATTGCCTTGAAAAAAAAAAAGGGCAAAAGAAATACCTATAAACACTTTAATAGAAAGGACCTAAACTTCTTGTAGTAAACCTTCAACCTTGCCACCATAAGTAAGCCTGGCACTTTGATGAAAATTAACACTAGTTTTGTAAAGAGCACATTGGGGGATTGCAGTCAAGTCTTATCTTTAGTTCCAGTCAACTAGCAATCCTGAAAGAGTTTGCATCATCATCAGAACAGGCCATTTGATAGGATTCTACTGCTGTACCTAATCAATCTATGGAAGACTGTGGCTGTGCTGTGTAACAAAGCTAAAATAGATTTACAAATGGGGTTTTAGGGGATAAGCTCCTCCACAGGATTACATATTGATTTTAAATATAAAAAGCTTATCATATAAACCATAACTACAAAAATAGTGAACCTATGCATAAAGCCCTTTAGAAGAGCACCCACTTCAAACTCTAAGCCAAGAATAAATCAAGATGTACAAAATCCTAGAGAAGATCCATTTCTTGTGCTGAAAATGAACATAACACTTTCTAAAAGCCCACCCCAATGTGTGCAGAAATGAATTTATCTTTCCTGAGGGAGCATTAAATAATCTGGAACGACAACAACAACAAAAAAAACTATAGGAAAAGTATCTAAAAGATGCTTATTAGCTTAAGGGATCCTACAACTTAGCTGAATACAGTGGAACTCCTGCTATGAAAACACCTCAGAAAAAAAGGTAAAAAAGAGGCCAAAGTGATCATGAATTTCTCAGAAGAATGAATACATTAAATGTGTGTGTGTATATGTATATACAGCTCTCAAACCAAGCTGTCAATATTTCTTTCAGTGTCCTGTGGTCATTAACATTCTATGGTTTTCTCCTGGTGAATGGTTTCAGCAGCAGATTAAATTGAAAAGATTTTAGTTTATTTATTACTAAAACCATCTTATAGCTACCAAGAAAGAATTGAGACAAAAAAAGAGAAATGAACTTTAAAACAAAAGAAAGCAAAACAAAACCAACTAGTGTTGCCTATTCATGTGTTTTTCTGTGGTGTTTTAATACTTGAAAAGGCTATTGAACTGTGTGTTCAGCTCCTCTTCAGGGAGCTGAAGTTCAGTGATCTGCACCTCTCTAGGACAGCCTTGCATGTGTCCAGAACAGGGTAGTGGGACAGGCTTCTCTGTAAGAAAATGTCTTTCTTTGCAATCAACAGGCTGCTCCTTTCCTCAAGTCTCCTTTTTCCCTAAACTGAAACTGTCAGAGAGAGAGAGAGAGAGAGAGAAGAAAGAGAGAGAGAGAGAGAGAGAGAGAGAGAGAGAGACAGACTGAACGCCATAACTTAGAACACAATTGCATTGCAAATATTTTAAAATAGGACTTTCTACCATCCCTCTGGATACATATGAACATTAGACAGATGAAATGGTAGATTATTTAAGATTGTAAGTTTGAATACTCACATAGAACAGCCAATGAAACACGAATAAAGCCCTACTTTTAAAATGAGCATTTGGAGTTGGGTGTTGGTGGCTCATGCCTGTAATACTAGCTACTCAGGAGGCAGAGATCAGGAGAATCATGGCTTGAAGCCATCCGGAGCAAACAGTTCGAGAAACCCTATCTTAAAAAAAACCCATCTCAAAAAAGGACTAGTGGAGTGACTCAAGGGTGTAGGTCCTGAGTTCAAACCCCAGTACTGCAAAAAAAAAAAAAAAGTGGTAATAATACTGGTTTGGGGGATAGAACCAATATCAAGTATCTACCTTAAAAGTCAACTGTACTGCATCAAGTTATATTTTAGAGATAATTTATCTTTCTACACAGGAGAGAATGGGTAAAAAATTTAAGGAATACTTCATATTGAGTGTAATGTATAATGACTATAAATAATACACTGTAGATGAGTTACATATTATTCATACTATATATATACATTATATTGCACATACATATTTCCCATATAAATAGTATCTGCTGCATTTACTTTTCAACTTTTTAGCTTCACAACCTCCTTTAAAAACTACACTATGACTACAAAAATTATACCCAGAGGAAAAGTACTATTTAGTGTACTAATGCATTTTATTTCAATAGCAAATTTTACAAAACTTCTTTAATAGTTTTGACAAATTTTAGCCATCAGTGGTATGATTTGATACATTTGGATGGCCATTTGAAGGAAACTGGTTAAGTGAAGCCTTTTAAAATAAAGCAAATTGAGTTTCTAAATGAGAATATATAAATGTTATCAGTGATATTTATTAAATAAGATTTTGGATATAAAAGTAATTAAAAATAAAACTTCTATAACATGAGATTGTAGATAAACAGGGTACATTTTATTTGATAACAATATAATATTAAAATATTTTAAGAATATAAAACTTCCTTTGGCTTTCCCTTACAAACTTAAATTTCTAGTTTCTGAACTAATTAGAATTGACTTATTATGGATCAGGTACCTTATCAGGTGAAGAATGAAATTACCACAGACAGTCAATGGGTTAGGAGGTCAATATAGAATAGGAAAATCAATTTGCATTGATTAGACAAAAGATCCATCTACAGAGCCTGAAGGATTAACTTTTAAGCAGAAATCTTTGGACTGTAAGACATTTTCAACTAAGAGATATCAGGAGCAAAGCATTATAAAATACCTAGGAGTTTTTTAAAATCATATATAGTAAAAGCTATAGTTAAGGTAGTAGATGTTTACTGATAGTACGAACCATATATAGCATTACCATATAATTCATTTAAATGAATTATGACAAGTGTGAAAGTGTTTCATTTTTTCTTATACAAATCTTTGCTCAAATATTTATTTAATAGGAGTTGGAGCCTTAAGAATTATACTAGACTGGGCAGTGACATATTCCAATGTTGTCATCAATGAAACATTATGGTAAAATTTAGAGTAAAAAAGGTGAAAAATCAAAATGACAAATCTTTTTCTAAACCTCCCCAGTGGAAATAACTTTAAATTGCTTTATAGGTAAAATCTAACCAATCAATTAACTCTTTATGTTTTAAGGAAATTTAGTTTTCCCAAATCAAAAATTAAGACAATTTTATACTTAGCAGCAGGTATAATGATTGTCTATCTGAACTGGGTCCTTTCAGTTTATATGAATCCTGCTTTCTGCTTCCAAGGAATTCCTGTAGGTACCTAGAAGACCAAACCTAGTAAAACCAGATGTGTATTACCTTCTTTAAATCTATTTGACAACTGACACCTTACATACCTGACCCCGTCACATCATTTCTTACCTTCAATGGCTAGCATTGCCCGCAATTCCCGGTTCAGCAGCTCATACCTTCGTTCTAAATCATGTTCTTTTTCCCTAGGCAAGTTACAAAAGTTCATCAATATGCTAATTACTAAATCACTAAACACTTAAAATAACCTGTAGGTTACATTGATTTTAGGACTCCAACTGACTTTTCTCTTTAACTTTAAGCCACTCCAAACAAATGATATACAAGCCTAAAACTTTCCTCAGTGGAATATTTACTAATGGTGTTATATTTTCCCTTCAATTCTGAATGGCATAAAGGGACGTTTTAATCTGAGGAGAAGTAGTCCCATTCTTCAGTGCTTCTTGTGTTAAGTGTCAGGTATAAGACTGTTTTCTAAAATATTTTTCACAGTTCATAACAAGCACTCTTATTTTGAACTCCATGTAAAAAGAATATAAGAAACATAAAAGTATTACTAGTGCAAATTTCAGAGAAATGGAAGGTTCTGGGTAAGTTTTGCACCTCACATAAATTTTTTTTAAAAATAAATTTAGGCAAGGCAGAAGTTATAAAATTAAGTTTTTCACCAAAATGAAACACGATGAGCTTTCCCACACTAGGTGGCATACTATAAGAACACTGTGGGTGAGCAGAAAGGAATAAGCATTAAGTCCTATGCTGAAGTAAATGCTTAAGACTAAGAATGTTTATATTTGGTCTAGTCTCCATTTTACTTTAATTCTTGCAATCATAAAAAGGTCACTTTAATTAATCTCTTATTCTGAAATTTAGATTAATAGCACCTTTATAAAATAAGCGTATTTTTGTCTTTATAAAAATTATTTTATTTTTTAACTTATAATGTGTTCTTAATTAATTGCAATTTTCTTTTTCTAGAGGGTCCTCCTCTGACCTCAATATAAACCAAACCTTCTTTGCACAAGTGATTTATTTCTTAAACATAAAAATTATTGTTATTCCTTGGTTTTTACATCACAAACACCTTTGTTTTCAGTGTATCACTCCATTTACAAATTCTTACTATTTGGATGAAAACTGTTTTGTTTTTAAAATATAAAACATTCTGTAAATCTCTAAGAAAAAATTAAGCTTAATAAATATGAAACCCCAAAGAAGGCAATAACAAAAAGCCTAAAATTTATCAATGTTGTAGGAAAAACAAGTGTAATCATGAATACTTACAAAAGAGAGAGCTGGTTCATTCTTCTTATTAAGGCATTTTTCTTATTAACTAACATAAACCATTCTTGCATCATAGCTTCTTCTTCTTCTGTGTTCCTTCCTATAGTTTAGGAAGAGTTAACTTCTTATTATATGACATTTTACAAGCTGAATCAAAGTTTAGCACAACTTTTTTTTAACATGAAAAGTATTCTAGCTACTTCAATACTGTATATAACATTGCTTATAATAATATGAGATTAAAGCCCAAGGACTGAAAAAAAAGAAATCAGTATTTAAAAACTCGTAAGTCAATCTTCTAAAGCTGGTATTATCTAGCATGTCTATTTTAGTCCCCCTGAACATACCTATAGATCATATTAACACTTAAGTACAGTAAACAAAATGTTCCACCTTTTAAATCCTCCCCAGAGGCTGACTTGCTATTATGTTTCAATGAGGAACTCAAGGTGCTGACAGACATATGGCCATGATTTAAAAAAAAAAAAAAACATTAAAAAAATCATTATGAGAATCATAAGATGAGGAAGATCAGAGAAGTCCAGAGATTGTGCAAAAGCTTCCACTTGTAATAACTTCCTTATTTTTCTTATTCCACCCCCACCCAAAAGTAAAATAAGATATCTGCATATATACCTTCTGGAACTCATCAACCCTAATTGAGTCAACCACTTACAAATTATTAAATGAATTGTAAATGACCAGACAACAATACATACCTATATCTCTCTGTGAAAAAACTCAGTACAATAAAATTAATGTTGCGTAAACATTTGATTAAGGAGACAATCTAACATTTTGGATTGTAAAGTTATGGGATTGCACACAGGAGATATTTAAAATTCACTATCTCTCATAGTGATCTAAATCACTCTGCCCTTCTCCCCACAAAGGCTAGTATATTTAGGATTACAATACATTACAGTATATACTTAGTATTATTCATGCAAAAATAGGCAACAATTATACTTAAGAAAAATATTTCCCCCACATTTTTTCTTTCTCTCCTTTCAAATTATACTGACTCAAATTCACAATCTATTGACGTTTTTTGGAATTTCATCCATGATTGGTTAATTGCTTTGTTAAGCCATTAATATTACCAGTCAAACTTCTGTACAGTATTCATAGGATTAACTTAAATATCTAAAAAATTTTAAATATCCCAGCTAAGGCTCTTATCCTCTATGTTTTATTTTCTTTGTGAGATAGTACCTTTTAAATTTTGAGCACTTCAAGTCCATTTTAAAAATTGAAACAATTCAGAGGTATAACTGAGTACAAAATCAAGTCCTCTTTCACCAGCCTACCCTCCTCACTTCCACAGTTCCCTTCTCCAGAACTAGGTACTATTATAGTTCAGTGTATTCTCCTTCCAAACCACATACCTATCAAACATATGTATATACCTTATCTATAGACACATACTGGTTGCATTTGTTTAACATCAGTGAGATAATATTATACATTGGTCTATGATTTCTTTTGTCATATTGTCCAAATATCTACTTCATTTTTAATGCGTGCATAAATTATGGGCATACCATAATTAAACTATTTCCTTTTTAATACAAATGTGAAGAAAATTTTCAAATAAAATAGAATGCAAAAAGTTGATCTGTGTCCAAGAGTAAACATCAATTTCAGACTATTCCTATAAAACAGTTATCTGTTGTTCACCATTAAGGAGAACAGTGAGGATATGTGCCTTCATTAAAAGCTGTTAAAACTGAGTGCTATGAAGCTGACTTAAGATAGATTCTTTTAGAGCCTGAACAAAAGTCTTTATTGTTTTACAGTATTTTTAATCTCTCCTTTAGGGTAGCTGGTTTTGTATTCACTTTGGACCATGTGATGTCTTGACACTGGTCATGTGATACAGGCTGCGATAGGCACAAATCCCTGGGTAGCAACAAAAGAAGAAAGAGTAAAAAGAAAAAGCTGAGAAAAAGCTTGCAATTTGGAGAAAGGCCAATTGTACCCTGGTGAAAGCTTTTTTGATCAGTGCAATGACACATGTGTGCAATATTAATAGGCATAGATTTTATATTTTATTTTGTGATTAAAGACCTAATTCTTGTATTCATAACCTAAGTGGCTTCTAAAAATACAGACATATTAAAACTTTGTCTTGAGTTTAACTTAACCTATAATTGAGGCTTTCAGGCAATATTAGAAGCCATCAGCCTACTCTTAAATTAGCATCATTTTCTTCAATGGAACACTGCCTTCCTTGAGTATAACAATATTGATGTGGTACAGTGTTATTTTCAATTTAACTCATGCCTATGATTTGTAGGTAAGAATCAAAGATCTTTTCTCCTAATTGTTAAGAAATGACTAAAAATAAAAGAGCCTCATGTTTCAAAAGAAATAAGCCTAACAATAAATATTTAAAGACACATTACACATTGCTACATAGATTATTTAAATTAACTGAAAAAAACCGCACAAACAAATTCTGTATCACTAAATCCTTATCTGAGATAATATACAATAATGGAAATCTATACCTAGCCTTGGATTAAAAAATTGAAGTTTCTTCTAGCACATCACTACACTATTGTTTTTAGGGATTTAACATTTTTTTTTTAAATTTAAAAAGCTTTTAGAAGCCAGTAAGTTGAACCATTACAAATTAATCCTGACTTTAATAACTGGTTAAAGACCCCTTTAGCTTTATAAGTAACAAAAAATATTAAAGCCTGTGATCACAGTGAGCTTTTCTCATTTCTCTTCTAACCATTTGTTATTTAATCCAATACTAGTAATCCAATTTGTCCATCAGACTTTTAAAGGGCAGAATGCAACTTCCTCAGCTTAGACACTTTTCAAAGTACAATATATTTTTCAAATGAATGCTGGATGTTTCATTTTTCCCAACTGTTCCTAGCTCTAATGCAGTAGGAAAAAAAAAAGAACAAGATGAACATTGTTCATACTGATTAAGTAAGAGCTCATTAAAGAGCTGTCAGTGCAGTACTTTGAATATGCATGAAGCATATAATCAGATCTAGTACCGTCACTAGAGGAGAATACGGTAAGTACAAAGGATTGATTTAATTACTTAGAGTGGGCTGTGGTGGTAAAGCAGTCTTGTTAGTGCAAAAAGAAAAAGAGGTTGTATTCTGGCACTGTTATAAAAAAGGCAGTTTTAGCTTCTGCCACAATACCTAATCTCAGAATAAAGCACTTTACACTGTAGCTTAAAATGAAGACTGTCATTATATTATAAAATGGCCATAAATCATTTAATCTTGTTTAACCATACCTGGTCAACTACCTCTTTTTCAAAATTATCTTTAATTTATAATTACAATCACATTTTTTGTCGCCTTAGTGCCAATACTGATACTTTTTTAAATCTTAAATTTTTATCAGTTTCATGGCCTGAAAAATTCAAGACATAATACTATTGAAGGTCATTTTGAAATAAAAATGACTAAATACTACCGTTCAGTATGCAGTTATAAAAATGTGAAAACATGCTTTAGATGTTACACTAGTTTTTAAAAATAGCACCTTGTTTATTATAAATACATTATCAATAAAAAAATCACAAAACTAAGAGGGATACATTGTTATATATATGTGTATGTATATGTGTATATATATGTTTATCTATTTATCTCTCTTACTTTGTTTTCTTAAAGACTTCGGGTTTTTATCTTTTGGGAATGCAGTATCTTTTCTGACATCACAATCTCTTAATGTCCATTTTTTTCCTTAAATAATTATTACAACTGGAGTAGAATTTGTAAAAATTATTAATCAAGAATGATAAGCACTACATGTAGTATAAATATTTAATAAATGCTAGCTGATTACAGCAACCACTTTTTATTCCAACTCCTCCAAAAAAAAGATGTAGAGTTAAGATATGATTTCCTTCAGGAATACATTCACTCATCCAAGAATTTGCATGTAGTTTTCATTTCTTTTCAACCATAATGACACAAATGAATAAAAGAAAAGTGATGATGAAAACCTGAAATTAGGGCTGGAGAAGTGGCTCAAGAGGTAGAGTGCCTACCTAGCAAGCACAAAGCCCTGAGTTCAAACCCTAGTACTGCCAAAAATGAATGAGCAAATAAATAAATACCTGAAATTATTAATCATGCCTTTTTTTTTTTTTGGTGGTAGGGAAAGAATCCAGGGCCTTGTTTCTGGTAAGCAAGTACTCCACAACTGAGGTACAGCCCACCACAATTCGCTCTTTTAAAATAATTACATATGGCATGGGGTTGCACCCATAACTTTCCATTGCTGAAAAACTTTACTTTTTTTTTGGCAATACTGGGCTTTGAAATCAGGACCTCATGCTTGCTAGGCAGGTGCTGTATCACTTGAGTCACTTCACCAGCCCTGTTGAGAGCCTGTAAGACATTAACAGGACCCACATTTCAGAGAATTTGTGACTGTACTGACTACTTATAAATGGGCTCTTGGCAAAAATAAATTTTCAAAACTTTAAATTCTTTAAAGTATATGTAACATATTTTGTAAAATGGGATAAAATACAGTGAGTCACTTTTATAAGCATCATTGCACAAAACAGATAGTAGTCTACTTGGAAAATCTATTAGGCATGCTCCATTGAGGAAAAAACTTGAATTGGGAGCTGCAGTTCAGGGGATAGCACTGCACCCCCTGCCAGCTCACCCTCTCCTGAAGCCCCCTTTCTTTGAACTGTACCAGGCAGGCTCTGCTGTATCCTCTCCCTGTTCTAGGGCCCTCTCACAGTCATGTCATGGAAATGACTCAAAAGTGGCTCTAATTGGAGCAGGGTGGCTTGCCCTGTAATCCCAGCCCTTGGGAGGTGAAGGCAGAGGACCTCAAATTTAAGGCCCGTGTGAACTCACTACATAGTGAATTCAAGATCAGTCAGCCTGGGCTATACAGCAAGACCCTGTCTCAAAAAAAAAAAAAAAAAAAAAAAAGTGACTCTAGTACTGACAGAAACATTAATGTCTAAGATCAATATGAAACATTTAAAAAAGATGAATATTAAGAGTTGAATAAAATTATTTCTTGAAAAGTGGGAGTGAACAAAAATAATGGTATTTTAAAATGTGACTTTAAGAGTTGGAGGATAGAGTG